TGTCCTGGTGAGTTGTTCCACCACTCAAGAGACTTCTGTTGCACCCATTTGTGTATGGCTGCCCTTTTTATCGTATTTGCGATTCCAAAGAAGGGTTCCGGACCAACCAGTGGCGTAGATGCGCCTTCTCGGGCCAATTCATCGGCCTTCTCGTTGCCACGATGGCCCTTATGTCCCGGCACCCATGCAAGTGTCAACCTGTGTCGACTTCCTACCTGAGAGAGGACATCCAAACAGTTCCATACCAGCCATGAATCGACCTGTACCAAACTGAGAGCCTTTAGAGCCGCTTGACTATCCGAATAGATAACGATGGAGTATTTTTTAGCATACTCTGTGCGATTTGCCGCTTCGTCCGTAGACTGCGATAAGAAAGTTATCCTACCAATAAACTCATATGCTCGAAGAAAAATAATGGTATTAGGGCCAGTGGTTTAACGACAATATCAACAGCGGCTTTAAAAGTTATAACGGAATAATGGAATTATTTCCCATCGTTTTAATTGAGCACCAAAAAAAGAAATAGGAAATAAAGAAGAGAATGACCATGAAAAAATGATGGGTGCAAATATAAAGGTGCCGAATTATTATTTTAGGCAGTTTTCAAGTGGTCAAATTAGAATATAATGAGTACTATATAATTGCGAACTTATTTTTAAATGTTCTGTCAATAAAGTTTAAAAATAGGTATTATAACTCGGAAATAACTATTAATATAATATGTCAACAAACTCATTGTGATATTTTTTATCTTTTTGTATTGTATTTAAATTTGTATTTATTCATCCTTTATTTTTAAGATTTTAAATATTATTTTATTTATGAATGATTTATTTACGTCACTGATAACATACGTGCATCAATACACTCTACATTTCTTGTTTGTCTTCAGTTCATTTTTTTGAAAATCAAAACAAACTGCAGAAATTCCTTAATCAAATATTCTAAAAAATAATTAATACAAAAATCAATAGTTGGCATTTTGTACTTGATATGCAAAGTTGTTAATTTTTTCCATTCTGCTCCATATACAGAGTAGAATAAAAGGGCACGAATAAAAAATATAATTAGCGGAAAATAACTTTTATCAATATTATCCCTAACATAATTTTTAATTGACACATAATTTAGCAATAAAAACTGATTATTGACCTCGCTTTATACGTCTTCATAATTATGGTCCCAACTATAGTACAATGAGCATGCTAACCATCCTTCATGGAAATTGATTAAAGTTATTGACAGGCATTATCGTTGGAGTCACTAAAATCAGAGTCTATGGTCTTGTCTTTTTCACCTTTATTTAAAAACACTCTCTTCTTATTAACCACTTTACCTAGTGCCAAGTTGAAAAAAGTACATTTGGCAACCAACAGAAATATTAGAGAATGACTCAGACGATGTAGGTGTTGCGTTTGTAGTGTTAACTGAAGTAGTGATCAAATTTATAGATTTATTTTGTAATCAGCATTGTTGTTTTTTGGTTTATTAGTAAATTTGGGATTGCTACTGTTTGTAAGGCTAAGTAGAGTGCCGTAGAGGTGTAGGAAGAAAACAAATTTCTTGGTTAAAAAACATTCGTGAATGGACTCAGATACCAAATGCAGGACAATTATTCTATATTGCAGAAGATCAAGAAGCCTTCGTAATGTTGATCGCCAAAGATAATTCTTAAACGGCACGCGAAGAAGAAGACTGTTTTTAATGCGGTTTGAGAAGACGTAGTAAGTGTAGAGGCAGTGGTATTTAAAATTGTGGGATTTTTTTGTATATTATCTTGTTGAGTATGATTTATTGATGAATTTTTTCTTATTTCTCTTTGCATTACACTATGATTGTGAAAATGGGTAGATGAAATATTCGTTAAATAGACATCTAGCTACCTGGTGTCCAGTTAATTTACATTTGAAACATGTATCATTTTGGGCTACAAATATATGGTATGACTTTTGTTTCAATTTGATGATAAAAGAGTCAGGTAGTACAAAGTTGTCTAAAAAAGGTAAAACAAACATTTGTCTTCCAAAGCTTAGGATATAACTAAATGCAAGATTAATTGCTTTTATCTGTAGATATGATATGTCTGAGAAAGGATTTAAAACTAGTTTTATTCATCTATTATTATTATGTTAGAAAGTATGCTTGGACTTGCATTGAACATAATTGCTCTGCTTGACTGCTAGTATAATTCTATTTACTATTATCTTCTTTATTTCTGTGAATTGATTATGTTTATGTTTTCATTTGTTGCTATGAATTTATCTACAAGTTTTTTAGAGGATGAGGTTTTTTACTCGAAATCAACTGTGACAACTATCAAAGTCGTCTAGATGTTAGAAATTAAAATAATTAAGTCGTCGGTGGAATTTGCGTCTTCCTGGTTACAGTTGTTTAACAGTTGTTTGCAATTATTAAAGACAGCTTATTGTTCTTGCAACCGCAAGCGCAAATTTAGTGCGAAAATGGAAAACCTAAACGAACTTGAGTCCGCGGCTAATGATGCAGTAGCACGTTTGGGGCCCTCCAAGTCCGGAATAAAGTATCGGTTAGCGTACAAGCACTTCCAAGAGTGGTGCAATACAAGAGGAGTACGGCAAGTTACCGAAGACGTTTTACTGGCATATTTTATTATAATGAAAAATGAAAATAAATGGAAATCTTCTACAATGTGGTCACGATACTCTATGATAAAATCCGAGTTAGTTATTAGAAAAAATGTGGATATAAGCAATTTTTAAAGTTTCTGAAAAAAACAAGCGAAGGACATACTGCAAAGAAGTCTAAAGTTTTCACTAAAGACGAGTTTAATAAATTTTTGTTTGAAGCGCCAGATAAGTTGTATTTAGGATTAAAGGTAAAAAAAATTATATTGCAAAGCATGTAGTATACTCTACTAAATTATAAAAATATTTCAGATTGTTTTGTTAAACAGGGTTACCGGCGCCTGTTGATGCGACGAAATGGTAAAAATGAAGACTGTGGACATTGAGGATAAAGACAATGGAATAATTATCAAAATCCCAGATATATGAATACATTCGATTAGCACAGTAGCCCAAAAAGTAGCTAGGTTTTTAGATTTAAACGATGTCACTCTTTACGATGAACTTTAGCAACACTTTTAATTGATGGAGGCGGAAATTTAGAATGCCTCAAACGACATGGGGGCTGGAAATTAAGCACGGTTGCCTAGGGATATATAGAGGATTCAATAAGAAATAAGAACGATAATGCCAAAAAAATTTTAAACCCTCATAATTCGCCAACATCGGGAATGATTGCTGAAAGTTGTTCTCGACCATCAGTATCATCAACAATTACCAATGCGTATCAAGAGTCGGGAACATTTTTGCACGGTTTCAATTTTGAAAATGCGTCATTAACTAATTGTACTTTTAATATTACTATAAATAAAAATGATGTTTAATTGTTGTTAATGACATTTGTATTGTTGCTTTGTGACATGTTTCATATTGTTGCCATGACAACATGTTTCCCTCCGCCGTAAAGAAATGAGAAAAAAAAACTGCTGCCAGAGGAGACATCAAACTTTGACACGATCAAGTTAGATAAGTGTCATCATTATTTGATGTTTGAAGAAAAAATTATTTTTTTAATTCTATATGCTGACTCAGTCCTTTAAGATAGTCATTAATGATACAATTCTCTGCATACAATATACTACATTGTTGTTAACTGCTTTTGAGTATGATGAATTTTGTATTAGCTATCTGGAAGATGACATCTTTTAAATGGATTTGAAATGCGACTAAAACCGCTGTGTGACCAGATCATAGAAATTGGATAACTAATTGCATTAATTTACTTAAATAATATATATAAATCGAAATAGATGAAAAAAGTATATTTTATCTACTCACGATTCCAATATTTAGTATACAAATCACTTTTACTTAGTTTTTTACTTAATTACTTTAAAATTTATTTATTTATTTATTTACATTGTAACCACCAGGGTTATTAGCGACCTAAAATGTATAATAAAGGTAAAGTTAGAAAAAAAATGTTGATATTTTTTCCTAGGGTTTCCTTTATATTATTTGGCATAGTGTGCTTCTTTGTTGCTGCTTCATATTTTTTGCACTGAGTTAGTAGGATGCTAACATGCCTATATGCTTAACGGAGAGTGTTACTTGACACGTTTCACACATTGGCGGCACAGTTCGCGTAAAGAGGTGTTTATGTGTAAAGTTACTGTGTCCTAGTCGCAAACGTGTTATTCTCACTTGGTCGTGTCTATTCGCTGTGGGTTGGAGCCACGGTTTTACTAGATGTTTGATTTCCTTGAGTTTATTTTGTGATGCACTCCACTTATTTTGCCACACACTTAACACTTTATGTTTTATTTCTGACTTAAAGTCTGAAGAAACCTCATTAATGAGAATGGAGTCCTGGCTGAAGGATGCTAAGTGGGCTAGTTCATCTGCTTCTTCATAAATTTTCTTTAATAATTACTATTTTATTAGCACGTTAAATAAGTGCCATTTATCTAGACATTTTTTGGGATTCATTTAACGTTTTTGGATCTGCTTCAAATGGTATGGTTATAAATTGCATAATATTATTTGCCGATGAATCCACTCATCCAAAAATTTACCTTATTCTAAAAGATAATTTTGATGAAGATGACGACTTAAAAATTACAGTCAGTTTCGACTTTTGGTCTATTGTTATCATCATCATCACCATCATTTTTGGCTCGACAATCCTCTGTGGTACTTGGCCTGCTCTAAGACGGCCTTTGCTTCTTTTTCCTGCAGGTGTTTCTGTGGTTAGCTTTTTAGCAATCCTATTTTCATTTGGTCTATTGTTACTTACATTTAATTCCCGAAGAAGTTAAATTCTGTACGTATAGGTACCGGCCTAAGTATTAACTCAAATTTTGACATATATTTTGTACACGAAAGCATGAAGTAGTTACAAAAAAAATACGATTTTCATGAGGAACAAAATTATTGTATTTAAATATTTATTTTAGACGTTTTCAAATTTACATATCTTTAAAAAATCCTTAATAATTCTCTAGCATAAGTCCAAATTTTCGCATACTTCCTGGGGAGTATTTTCTTGTAGCTGGTCATAGATTCTATCAACTTTTGGGAGCAAATTATCTTCACAATATTCTCTCAAGTTACCTGGTAAAACACCGCATAATCTGTCTGCGTCTCTCTCAACTTCCTCCTGTAATAACAGAAAAACGATAATTTTAGTTTAAAGTTTAACTTTAAAAATTTAGACTATTTTAAACTTAAAAGTTAAGATTATGAGTAATATGAATACGATATTGATGAATGATTAAAAAGTGATTAAAGTGGTAAAAAGTGATTAAAGAGCATAAAAATACTAAGTGAAATCGATTATTCTAATACCAGTCATACAAAATGTATGTAAAACAAAATTTTCAGTTTACACACATTTGATGACTATATTGTTACTTATAAAACTTACCAAGGTTTCTCCGTCTTCGACTAAATCCTTGATAACAGTTGTAAATAATATACAATTGTCGCAATCAAATCTGTAAAAAAAACAACTTTTGCTATTAATTAAATTAACTTTCATAGACTTTGCGGTTAATATTATTAAGGTCTAAGAATGTTGCAAAAGAAATTCAGTGTATAATAAACAATTTTCGAAATAAAAATAACACGGCTTAAAGATTTTGTATTCCAAACTCTAAAAAGCTAAATGAATACTTTTTTAATGTGCGTAAGAATATAATGTCTACAATTTTGCCTCAACCTCAAGATAATACCTTGTATCTCCAGAATTTAATACAGGTCTTGAATTGGGTCTTTTTAAGACCAGATGATAATTCTGAATTAATGTAAACAATCAATAGTATTAAGAGCAAATTTTTTTGTAGTACTGATAGACTATGCATAAAAATTTTTCCAAATCTCCCAAAAAAATATACGGGAGTCCTGGTTTCACTAATTAAAGATTTCTTTGAAAATGATATATTTTCAGCGTGTCTACAGACAGTCATTCAGTAATGAGGAAATGAAACTCAATCCATTCAACTACAGACGTGTTGCTTCACTACCAATTCTATCCAAAATTATTAAAAGAGTTTGAAAAGCCCAACTTTCTATATCATTTCGACTTATGCTTTCTTGTTGAACACAACATTTTATTACAAAGGCAGTTTTGCTCTTTATCCAATAAATATATTAGTGATAATATATTTTTTGTACTACTTGAGCTCCATCAAGCACTGAACAATAATTTACACTGATATTGCTTTTTGTAACAATGCCAAAGCATTTAATTGTATAAATCACGATATCTTGATAAAAAAACTAAATTTCTACAGAATTCAAGATATTTCTTTAAATTGACTTAATCCTACTTGGAAACTAGCAAACATCCAGTTAGAGCGAATGAACAATAAAAACCTGATCCGACTCTAATTTACTCCCTTTTAACATGGATAAAGCAGAAGCATTATCCTAAGAACGAGCTCTTCAACTCTTGCTTCTTAGTAATAGTATAAAATTTCTTAATATTTTTATAGACAGTAACCTTAGATGATCCTTTCATATCGATTTGTTAAGTAAGAAACTAGGCTAAGGCTGCTATGCAATAAAATCTGTTTCGAAAGAAATTAATTTAGCATCCCCCAAAATAACATTTGGGGTTCTAGTACAGTATTAAAAAGTAAATTTTCAATCGTGCCGACTAAATTCTTAAATATATATCATTGAGACTAAAAAATTTTAATAATAAAATTTATTTTTAATAAAACAGGCCAGATTTGCAAATATTTTATTGGCAAGTTGGTTTTTATGACTCTCAAACGATGGAGGAGAAAGTGCGAAGGAATGGGCATACCAGTAAGAGACGAATATCTATACACCTTAAGTTTTGCCGACGATCAAGTAGTCATCGCACAAGATGAAAAAAGTTCTCAGCTTTATGATTAAAAAATTTGAAGAGGAATATAAAAACAACGGAATGGAAATAAACTTAACTAACTACAAACAACAAGGATATGAGAAACCTAGAGATAGACGAGGGAAGACAAGTAAATGGAACAGATAAATTCAAGTATTTAGGAACCATAATATCTAACCAGGGAACAACAAAAAAAGATATAAACAACAGACTAAGACAAACCAGAAACTGTATAAGACAACTAAATTCAGTGCTGTGGGATTACGATGAAGACAAAAAAGAGAATATATAATACCCTGACAAGAAGTATCCTGACATAGGGGTCCAAAAACTGGACAATAAATAAGAAAAATAGAGGTAGAATAAGAGCAGTAGTAATGGAGTTCCTGAGGAGAAGCTGTAGACTTACAAAAAGAGACAGAATTGAAATCGCAGAGATTAAGCGGAGAATGGGAGTGCAATCAGACATAATCGACTATATAGAGAAGAGACTATCCTGGTACGGCCACGTCAGAAGAGCGGACAGAGGACGCTGGATAAACAAAATTACAGAATGGAGCCCGATCGGAAGAAGAAAGAGAGGAAGACCCTGAAGGTTATTCAGAGACGAAATCGACGAGGTTATGGAGAAAAGAACCCTGCGAGATGGAGACGGGAATGACAGGGAAAATTAAAGAAAACGGTTGAGTGAAGGAAGACAGTGAAAACTGTGGAAATACTTAGTAGTAGTAGTAGTAAGTTGACTTTTATTTATACGATTTTTACTTACTCAGGCTCAGGATCATCGGTAGGCTCAGGTTCAGTGGTTCTTCTGGCGAATACGGTCAGACCTAAAAGTAAACAATGGCTTTTAATTATTAATAATTTTTAAAATGAAATAACTTTTTTATAAATATAAATAAGTTGTTGTATTTTTAAATTTAATAAATTGTGGTACGCTACAAATGGATCGACTAATCGGTAGCCAGATACGCGGATAAATACAAATAAACGAAATTACAATCAATTTTTTTTTGTGTTTTTTGTAATAAAGGATATCACGAACTTTGTAAATAATGTTTAAAAACCAGCAAAATGCTTCAAAAATATACCTAAAAAATAAAACAGCAGAAAACTATTAAAAGATTTTAAAAAATGCAGGAGATTAGTAAAAGAATTTGTTACAAAACCAAAAAGGGACAAAATTACAAAATTTGGAAAAAAAAATGAAAAAAACAGTAAAGACGATTAGAAACTGTTTGATTGAGTTCTAAAATCGATAAGAAAGTTAAAAAATTGAGGCACAAAAACGAAGAATAAATCGAAATTGAAACAGAAGGGAAGAAAACAAAATAATTAATAGATAAAGAGAATATTTTTAAGAGGTACTATAAACTTACTTAATTAATTGTATTAGGCTAAAGCAAATTGTTAAAAGCCTAAGAAGGCTTTTAACACTTTGTTTTAATACCAAGACAAACATTATGAGAAAAAATAATAAAGAGGGGTTTCAGTAGCAAAATAATAAGTATATTCATAAGGAAAAAAAATTACAACAGCACTTAAATTGTGTCATCAGTTTAAAATAAACATCAAAAACCATTAACTACAATTAATGAGCTGACACAAAGAAACAAATCCTACTCTAATTATTCTATACATGGGATGAGATAATTAAAATATGAAACGTAAAAGGGAAAAAGATGCATGTGCGTTATAAAAATTTAAGATTCGAAATTTTGTCATATCGACCGAAACTGAAAAATAACTTTGACATATGCAAGTTCTTACAGAAATAATGAATGACAATTAGTAAAAATAATACAAGAGTTATACTTAGGTGAAACTTATGAATAAGAAGAATGCGGAAATTAAGTAAATATAGGGATATATTAACCTAAGCGTTGTAGTTAGGCCTACGGTATAGCCAAATTGCTAATAATAACAATCATCTGCGTTTCTACTGTATATTTGTGGCTTTAACAGTTTTGCTATTTTTTCGCCTCTTAAAATTTCCTCCTTGGTTTCTGACCCCGAGGCACTCAGTGCATCCAGTTTGTAGCACAAGCGGAATTAAGAAACATTTAGTCAAAAATATACAGATAAAAATAAATAATAAGTAGTATTCAATATTCAAATATTACCAGTTAAGAATAATAAAACGGTTATACTAAATAGACATAAAAACATTTATTGCTTACCGAGGCAGAACAAGAGAGGTCGAAAGAAAATGCAAAAAAGTATTTTTGAAGTGTGTATATTTTAGGCAATTCCTAGCTGAGCGCTTTCGGCTTTACAAAGCCATCATCAGAGCTATGCTACAATAAAATGTTCTAATAAGTACTAATTGGTAAAGATTGTAATTTTTAACTTACGTCAATTTTTAAATACCACTACAAAGGAGAGATCTCATTTCCTTAAGTTTCACAATTATGATTTTGTAGGAGTTGGAATTTTTAAAACATATAAAAAACATATAAAAGGTCGACACTGGACGTCACAAACACGTTAAAAAATTGAAAATTTTTTTTGTCATGGTACGGGTTTAAGACCCGACCATCTATTGATGTGAGGACGTAGACTGAATAGAACTAGTGAAATCAAATGTCGGTCCTTTTAAACGATTTTTCAAAAGTGACAGGTGACAAATGTCATATATAGGAAATAGAGATTGTTTTTTAAATTCTTACAAAATTATTTAGTAGTTTGGAATTACTACTAGTCATCAAAGACTTTCTAAAAATTAAGTTTTTAAAATTAAATTTTATGTGTTCATCACATCATACAGAATGACATTAATTTGTAAATTCACTCAAGTCATTGCTCAAGGTCAATGTATGTTCAATCTGACAGCTATCCTTAAGGAACAAGGGCTCAAATTGTTCAACAACACTATAAAGAAGAAACCTGGTATTAATGTTATGTTATCTGATACTTAAGTGTATTAAGAATTGTATGTCTTGATGGAAAATTGTAAGAACTTTGCATAAAAAATTTTTTTAAGAATGTATTTTCATGTTTCGATTAAGAACAACTGTCAAATGAATTACAAAATGTTGTAAATTTTAATAAAGTTTAAAATTTGTTTAAAAAATAAAAGTATGAAAAATATATAACAAGATTGCATGAGGTCACCCTTCTTCCTCTAAAGTCTCCCATAATAATTTAAAAAGAGGTTTATAGTTGCAATTGAGGTTGATTTGTGTGTTTAAGCAACAATCAGGGTTTATTTTCATTTCTTTGGATATCTCTAGATCTTCCAAGAGATTCATGAGTCTAAAGTTTTTATTAGGAATGTTGTGTAAAATTTTTCTGTTTTCAGAAGGAGAAAAAGAATGATTATTAAATTTAATGTGATATCCAAAGTTTGATTTTTCTGGGTTATTGAGGTGTTCTTTGATTCTTTGATTCAGAGTTCTCATTGTTCTACCTACATAAGTCATATTACAGTCACCACAGGACAGCTTGTAAATACCACTTCTGTTTAGTTTGTCAACTTTGTCTTTGGTCTTGCTGAAGATGGACTTGATGTTATATTTGGTTTTAAAGGAGATGTTTAAGTCATTAATTTTATTAACAAGTACTCTTGAAATTTTTTCTGAAATTGGTCCTAAGTAAGTTAAGGATCTATATATGGAAGTAGTGTTGGATTTGTTATCAACATTAAAAGCTTGGTTTAGTCTCTTTTTGAGTATAGATTTTCTAATGACTTTATCAACAGTAGTAGAAGGAAAACCATTGTTGTTTGCTATCTGTTTAATGATGGAGATTTCTTTATTGTAATTTTCTTGAGACATAGGGATATTAAGAAGTCTGTGGACATAACATTGAATAGCTGCCATCTTGTGTTGAAAAGGATGATTTGATGATGTTGGTATCATATGGTCAGTTTGAGTAGGTTTTCTGAATATTGAAAATTCTAGTGTAGGCAAAGAAGAAAAGGAGGAAGTATTCTTTTTGATAGTTAGGTCTAAAACATTATCAACATTATCAACTTTTTAGACCTAACTATCAAAAAGAATACTTCCTCCTTTTCTTCTTTGCCTACACTAGAATTTTCAATATTCAGAAAACCTACTCAAACTGACCATATGATACCAACATCATCAAATCATCCTTTTCAACACAAGATGGCAGCTATTCAATGTTATGTCCACAGACTTCTTAATATCCCTATGTCTCAAGAAAATTACAATAAAGAAATCTCCATCATTAAACAGATAGCAAACAACAATGGTTTTCCTTCTACTATTGTTGATAAAGTCATTAGAAAATCTATACTCAAAAAGAGACTAAACCAAGCTTTTAATGTTGATAACAAATCCAACACTACTTCCATATATAGATCCTTAACTTACTTAGGACCAATTTCAGAAAAAATTTCAAGAGTACTTGTTAATAAAATTAATGACTTAAACATCTCCTTTAAAACCAAATATAACATCAAGTCCATCTTCAGCAAGACCAAAGACAAAGTTGACAAACTAAACAGAAGTGGTATTTACAAGCTGTCCTGTGGTGACTGTAATATGACTTATGTAGGTAGAACAATGAGAACTCTGAATCAAAGAATCAAAGAACACCTCAATAACCCAGAAAAATCAAACTTTGGATATCACATTAAATTTAATAATCATTCTTTTTCTCCTTCTGAAAACAGTAAAATTTTACACAACATTCCTAATAAAAACTTTAGACTCATGAATCTCTTGGAAGATCTAGAGATATCCAAAGAAATGAAAATAAACCCTGATTGTTGCTTAAACACACAAATCAACCTCAATTGCAACTATAAACCTCTTTTTAAATTATTATGGGAGACTTTAGAGGAAGAAGGGTGACCTCATGCAATCTTGTTATATATTTTTCATACTTTTATTTTTTAAACAAATTTTAAACTTTATTAAAATTTACAACATTTTGTAATTCATTTGACAGTTGTTCTTAATCGAAACATGAAAATACATTCTTAAAAAAATTTTTTATGCAAAGTTCTTACAATTTTCCATCAAGACATACAATTCTTAATACACTTAAGTATCAGATAACATAACATTAATACCAGGTTTCTTCTTTATAGTGTTGTTGAACAATTTGAGCCCTTGTTCCTTAAGGATAGCTGTCAGATTGAACATACATTGACCTTGAGCAATGACTTGAGTGAATTTACAAATTAATGTCATTCTGTATGATGTGATGAACACATAAAATTTAATTTTAAAAACTTAATTTTTAGAAAGTCTTTGATGACTAGTAGTAATTCCAAACTACTAAATAATTTTGTAAGAATTTAAAAAACAATCTCTATTTCCTATATATGACATTTGTCACCTGTCACTTTTGAAAAATCGTTTAAAAGGACCGACATTTGATTTCACTAGTTCTATTCAGTCTACGTCCTCACATCAATAGATGGTCGGGTCTTAAACCCGTACCATGACAAAAAAATTTTTCAATTTTTTAACGTGTTTGTGACGTCCAGTGTCGACCTTTTATATGTTTTTTATATGTTTTAAAAATTCCAACTCCTACAAAATCATAATTGTGAAACTTAAGGAAATGAGATCTCTCCTTTGTAGTGGTATTTAAAAATTGACGTAAGTTAAAAATTACAATCTTTACCAATTAGTACTTATTAGAACATTTTATTGTAGCATAGCTCTGATGATGGCTTTGTAAAGCCGAAAGCGCTCAGCTAGGAATTGCCTAAAATATACACACTTCAAAAATACTTTTTTGCATTTTCTTTCGACTTGTCATAAGTGTGTACAAAAAATATCAGTCTTTTGATAGAACAAGAGAGTCAAAACCAATGTAGTCTTCATGTTTGAGAATTGTATTTTACAATAATGTGCATCGTCAGTTTAGCTTTATATACAATAAGAAGTCAACCACTTACCAAAAAGGACCACTTGACTAATTACGTGTCTTGTTATTGTTAATACTCCCCACTACCTTTCTATATTTGTTAACTTTAATTTCCATTGACGATAAGGTGAAGTACTTATTATAACTTAAAGAACATTTAAGATATGTAAAAAAATTCGTTTGTGTAATCCAGAAATCTTGATGCTTTGCTGATATTAAATCTACATAATTGTCAATAAGTCATCTTATCTTGATTAATTCTACAGTCTGAAAACTTAACATTGTCAGAAGTCTAGAACGTTTAACCTTTAGATATAAGTAGTATTTTCTTCTTTCTCTTCTTTGTCAACCATTTTCCATCCACTCCTAAATGTAGATCTCTCCCAATTGCTTCCATCTTTCTCTATCTTGCGCCAATCTAATCCACTGTTTGTCTGCCAATGCTCTTATGTCATCTACCCATCTTTTTTGTAGTCTTCCCATGCTTCTTGTTGCCGTCCTTGGTCTCCATTCTAGAATTCTCTGTGTCCACCTATTGTCATTATATCGGGCTACGTGACCTGCCCAGCGCCATTTCATTTTTGTAATTTCTTCCACAATATCCCTAATCTTCGTTCTACGTCTTATCTCGGTGTTTCTAATCTTGTCTCTTAGTGATATTCCAAGCATGATTCGTTCCATTGCTCTTTGCGTTGTTTCTAATCTTTTGGAAGATTTTTTGGTAAGTGCTACTGTCTCCAAGCCGTAGGTACAAACAGGTAGTATGCATGTGTTATACACCTTTTTCTTTAAGTTTATAGGAATGGAGGTGTTTTTCAAGATATGTGCTAGTTTGCCGAAAGCGCTCCAAGCCAGTTGTGTTCTTCTTTTAATTTCAGCATCTTAATTTGGTTTTCCTAGTTTGATAACATGACCTAGATATACATAATGTTCCACATTTTCTCTGGTATGATTTTGTATTGTTATATTTGTCTAGTCTCGGCTCAGTATTTTTGTTTTGCTGTAATTCATTTTTAAGCCTACCGCTCTTGAAACTGCATTTAATTGTTGTAACATATCATTTAGTTCTTGGATATTATCGTCTATTAAAACTATTTCATCTGCGAATCTTAAGTAATTTACGTATGATCCATCGACGTTGATACCCTTATTGTTCCATTCCAGTTTCTTAAAAATATCTTCTAGAGCGAGGGTAAATAGTTTGGGAGAGATGGTGTCTTTGTCTTACTCCCCGTTGTAGTCTTATGGGATTAGTTTTTGTGCTTTCGTCCAGCTTTATATGCATGGTGGCATTTTCATATATGTTTTTAATTGTGTTAATGTATCTTAAATCTATGCGTGCATTTTCTTGAGATTCAAGTACTGCCCATAATTCGATGGAATCGAATGCTTTATGGAAATCGACGAACGCCATATGAATTGGAACATTATACTCGGTGCATTTTTCTATCAGTGTTCTTACGGTGTGCAAGTGGTCTATGGTATTAAAATGTTTTCTGAATCCAGCCTGCTCGATAGGTTGATAGAAATCGAGCTTATGTGTTAGGCGGTTGGTTAGTAATTTATACAGATGTGATAGCAAGGATATTGGTCGGTAATTCTCGATGTTTGCTCTGTTTCCTTTCTTGAATAGTAAAATGACCTCGGAGTTGTACCATTCTTGAGGAATCTTTTCTTCATCAATTACTTTATTAAATAGAACATTCAATACCTGTTCCATTTTTCTGCCACCAATTTTCAACATTTCAACTGTAATCTTATCCTCTCCCGGACATTTATTCGTTTTAAGTTGATTTAGGGCCAGTCTTATTTCATAGTCGATCATGTCCGGTATTTCTTCTGAGCCGGTGTTAATTATTGTTCGTTGAGTACGTCGTTGTTGTGGTTGTGTATATACCGAATTTTTTAATGGCCTCGCTTATTTCCTTTCTGTCTCTGACGGTGACGTTTTTCTCTTTTTTTATTTCTATGATTTTTGTTGTGCCGCTTGAGTTTTTTGCTTTGAGTACTTTCATGTTGCAGCTATCTTGTATTATATTTTTTATTAGAGTGTTATTATAGTTTCTATGATCGTTCCTGATTTCTGTCTTTACATTTTTGTTTAAACTTTTAAAGCTATTCGAAGTTCGATATGTTCTGTTTCGTCTCTCTTGGAGTAGTTTAATTGTATTACGTTGGAGTTTAGATGTTTTGGCTGTTTTCATGTTTGAGCATATTTTCTTAACCGATGTTGTTACAGTTACTTTTATTTTAGTGGCTAGTCCGTTTACATCCATTTGTTTCAGTGCCTCTATTGATTTTAGTGTTGTGCTTAGCTCTTTTTGGTATTTCGTTTGTTTTTGAAACAGGACATCGGTGGTTGGGTATCGTTCTCGTTTAATTTGTTGGGTATCGTAGTATTTTAGAAAACTTAAATTATTTTTCAGTAGCTTTTTTGTAAATGTAAAAATTACAAAGTCTACTTATATAATGATTATCATTTTCAGCATCTGTCACAGATTATGGTGCAGCTTACCTCACATTGCCATTTTGCATTTTTTCCTATCATTGTCTTATATTCTCTTCTCTGTACCATATTTTACCTGCTTGTTGCGTTATATCATAGTCCCATCTTAAGTATGAACGTCATCTTGGTCTCTTGATGTTTCTTGAATACGAGTATTACAATGTAATTTGCCATGGACAAGGGGGGACAGAAATATTTTGTCTCGTTCTAAAAGTATTTCAAGACAATTTTTAAACAGAAATGGGCGGTATCTCGTAAAACGACTTCTAAGAAATTGTAAAGAATCGCTTAAAATATCATTAGAACTTACTTTGTGGTCATCACTTAAGCCCCGTCATCCAGTTAAACAGTTCCACGAATTAAAGGAACAAGCGGCGGAGAACTGAAGAAATACGGGCTTTCCTACCGGTAGAGAAGTTGAATTTCACTGCGCGTGTCAAGGATACTTCCGGAAATAAACAAGTTTCAAATATGATTAAAAAATAACTTCAACGCCGATGAAACCAAAAAGATCAGAAAGATAATCGCCTAAAAAAGAAGAAGTGGACATGAAATATACACCACAGGAAGCGTTATCGTTATTTATAGAAAGTAATTTTACAAGAAGTCAGTAAGTGTTATTACAAGTTGGACGAAGTTACATCTACCTTTTTTACTTTTTGCTGCAAAAGGCAAAAAATAGTGCTACCCAGATGATGATAAAATAACTCTTACGGAGACCAGTTTTAATGTTGAACTACAAGCTTTGCTGGATTATACAGCTTTGCGCCTTATGCAATATTTAAATAAGTCCTTAGATACAATAAATGACACTAAAAAACAACACATATTTTTAATATCATAATGGGGATGTGATGGATCTCACTAAAATCAGTTTTGAAAAAGTCGCAGATGTTGAGTGAAATATATTTATGAGCTCGATTGTTCCAGTGAGGTTCGTTGTTTCTTGGTGGCAAAGCAATAAAAATCATTTCGCAGACCTATCAGAGCTCGATTTGTCCACGAAATGAAAGATGACACTAAAGAAGAAATAGAATACATCTTAAATCAGGCAAAATATCTGATTGTGACTAAAGACAGAGCAACATCAGTGAAAATCAGTCAAAATAGTTTGCTGACAATGGTAGACGGACACTGCATCAACTATGCGATGTAATATGTGGTCAGACATTAAAAGATTTTAATAAATTAGAAAAATTTATTCACTAAAAAAGAATCTTTACAGTTTGGGGTCTCAGTACTCCATGACAGAATACGCTTTTTTAAATATTTATTGCATTCAGCATATAAAGAACTCATAAAAAGTACACCAGTAGACAAAAAAATTATTAAGGAAACAAAAGAGAAAATTCAGAAATGGTTTAGAGTTGAAATGGGTCTACTTGTTGATATTTCTAAAGCAGGGTATGGAACAAGTAATGATGAAAATACGTCTAGGAGGTTTTTTCAAAACACAGAATGTTCTTTTCGCATTACAGACATCAACGAAGAATTAATTAACAGGTTTAAACGTGATTCTATAGGAAATATCAAGTAGACTTGAGGTTGATCATCAGGAATTTTAAAATTATGGCCACGATAATACCTTCCTCTTCTTCTTCAATTTCCACTTCTATCGGAGATTAGAAATTATTCTGGTAATTATAATTTTGTCCCTGAATAGTTCAACTGAACTGCATCAAAACCATTCACGGAGATTGCGTAGCTACGAGATTTTACGTCTTCCTTCGCTTCTTCTACCTTTGATTTTACCCTGCATTATATTCCTTAGTAGTTCATTATTGTCATCTCTTATGATGTGCCCCAAGTATTTCAATTTCCTGATTTTTATTAAATTTAAAACGTGCAATTTCAATGCGGCATCTTATTTCTTTTGTTTGATCAGTAGCTTCTGTCATCCATGCTTCAAGGTATTTGTACGAAGATACTTGTTCAATTTATATATTATCTAGTAGTGGTTTAACTTTGATGTTTTGTGCTTTTGTAAATACCATGAGCTTGGTTTTTTTCTAATTTATTTTTAGTCTATAATCGTTGCAATACATATTTAGTTGTTCAGCAAGGTGTTGCAGTCCTTCTAGTGTTTCTGCCAGAATGACGGTGCTGTCAGCATCTTACTTATTAAATGGCTCACCGTTTATTATCAGGCCCTCACTGATCTCGGCAAGCGCTAATTCTGAGATGGCTTCACTGTATAAGTGAAATAACAAGAGTGATAAAATACACCCTTGGCGGACCCCACGGCGAATCTGGATATCATTGGTCAGTAGGGTGGAACGAAAAAGGCCAAAAAAATAAAATAAAAGAAAAATGATTGTGGCTATCGTTTAAAAGTTGTGTCAGGTAATGAAAACAAACGGTGCGAGAGCATTTTGAAATAAAAAAAAATCTTGAGGTTCCATATTGGATTTGAAAAATGAAAAAAACAAAAAAAAATATATTTGTTGAAAAAATCGATTTGGCTGTGATCAACAGTCGTCTTTAGGATTGAAAAGCATCT